AAGTGCTGCATTGAAAGATTTCTGGAATATCTATAAGTGTCCCTGCAAAGCTATAGAAAGTGATGCACTGAGGAGAGTAGAAGTCGTACAGCACCTCCTGACTTGTACCTTTCCTTATGCCTGTTTTCCAGCTGATTATTCCTGGATTATTGCCTTTAAAGTACATAGTAATTGATATAGCCATTGTCACTGCTTTTATTGCTCATCTCCCATATTGAAGTCACTAATGTGAATCCTGCTACTCTGATTCTAACCTTGGATCCTGCTAAACTACATTTGGGGGTAGTTTGATGGTTTAAGTGCTTGGATGGCTGTAACCTATGTGCAAGAACTAAATGAAGATTTCCTAGTTGCAATCTTGCCTGACCTTGTCTGTTGTGGGTACTTGGAGAATGAGCTAGTAGATGGAAGATTTCTGTCTCTGTCTCTATGACTTTTGTGTAAGATGAAAATAAAAGTTTAAAAGTCTGCTACAACTTCTGCATTGAAGATGGTACAGGTAGGTGAGAATGGAAGTTCTATACCTCCTCACAAGCCCATTTTGCTTGCAAATCTTATATTTGGTCATTCCTCAGTTGTGTAAACTGATAAATATTATTTTAAAATAACGAAAAAAGAGTTCGCTATGTAACTGATTGTGAATGATATGTTAGTATTGCTAATAGAATTTATCTTGATCAGATAATGTTAGTATCAGTAAACACACACAAAAGTGACATTGATCCTGGTTATTGATTGTTGTGGTGAATAAGTGGACCACAATTTTCTTTGCCTTGGTCATAGCAAGGCATTATGATTTTGAGCTTACCCATTTCAGAAGACATCATCTCTTGAAATACTACGAAAAAAGACCCTAATTTCATTGATATCCCCTTTGGAAGAGTTATTGAGATGGTAAAGTGGCAAGAAGGATTAGCATCTCAAGGAGAAGCATTACATTTTAATGACAACCACGTCCCCACATGTTTCACAATAATGGAAGATGGTCCCTGAACAAGGAATTGTTAGACAGAAGCCAGGCTTTCAATTAGACTGATTGGATATGGTAATTTTATGCCTATTTTTAATGACATCTTCTAAAACAAATTTCTGTGATTAATATAGCAAACTTCCTTTATAATATGGCATATTAATACATAAAATCAATACATTAACATATTACATTATGTACATTAATACATATTAATACATAAAATTAATATAATGGCATGAATTAATATGGAAAATGAACTAATATATACAGCAAATTTCCCGTTATAATGTATATATAGTGTGTATCTTCTACTCTTTATTTACCTTATATCATAGTGTCTGATGCTAAACTCTCTTCCAGCTCATTAGCTACTGTACTGAAAGAATTTGCTGTTGAACATATTCTGGTGGAGTATAGTACTGTCCCTTACTAGAGGGGGGAAAAAAGAAAAGCAAGGCAATATAGTGGTAGTTTTGTTCCTGATGATTAAGGTATCAACAGAAGGACAACTTTACAAGAACTCCCTAAAATTATGCTGCAGGAATAAATCACTACCTGTTGCTAAATCATAAAACTGCCTCTGTAAATCATTGACTTGTGAGATGAATGGAAATCTAGATTTCTTCTTGATCTTACATATACAGGTTATATAAATTATTTTTGCTGGTTTTTTTTTTTCTGTACTTAAGACTGAAAGAGGCAATTGTCAGCCTTTTCTATTTATTGGTCACTTTCAATGGCTGCTTTTAATTTAATATTTCTTCTCTATTTCTTTCACTGTTCCCTCAAATCAAATATTCTCTTTGATGGCCTTAATATTTTATTCTGCTGCTGAAATGGCAGTATTTTGCAGCCAAAAATCTGATCACTAGGCACCATTGAGGACTTACATAGCTCCTAGCTCTAAGACTAATTAAGAATCTGGTCAGTAATCAGTTTTATTTCTTCCTGAAGTGCCAGCTTCCACATCCACAGAGGCCACAATCTTCCAAGATGAATGGTGCCTTCTCTCTGTGCCATTAGATTCATGACACAGTCCTTCCTTGTCTAATCCACTGCTATCAAACAGAAATGTGAAGCCAACCACAAGGAAATTTTGTCTTTTCTAGCAATCACATTATAAAAAGAAGGCGAATCATACAAAATCAAGCTTAATACATTTTTTTTGCTTAACCCAATGCATTAAAAATGTTATCATTTCAATAGGCAATCAATATTAAAGATTACTGAAGAGTGATCTGCAATCATTTTCTTTTTTTAATTCTGTTTAATCCATGTCAATTTACGTTAGTGACATTCCAAGAATTTAATAGCCACTTTTGTCTAGTGGCAGAGGGCATGGAATGTGTGATATTTGGGGAGGGAGGTATTTCCGTGAATTTAGCACGTTTGTAATATCCTATGTCTTATTTATCTTCCATGGAAAAGTACTATGAAGCTTAGAACTTAAGATTTTAAAAAAGGTAAACAAGTAAACTATATATAAAATATATATATATTCCTAAAATATATGTGTCCACATTTATAATGCTATATGCCAAAATAGTATAACTTGTTTTAATATGAGAGAAATACAATGAAAAATTTTAAAGTGTCATTTACCTGAAAAATCATATTTCTTATAACGCAACAAAACTAATAGCTTTGTTCTGTGATATATTGACCTTTTCTGAGTTTGTTCATTCCTGACATACAAGCATACAAAATACACACTTAGATTCATACTTTAAATACAACAAGTTATTCCACATAAAAATAATGGTCTGAACTTCAAATTTTTATTCTGTGCTTCTCTTGACTCTAACCCTCCTATCACCACTACCTCTATTATTTCTAGATTTTTTTTTCAAGCCGCAGTGTGGACTCAGAAGATAAGGAAGACAAATTTGTAATTAAATCTGCTGTGAAATGGATAGCCACATCTGTGACAGAAAGAAAGAGAGAGAAATGTTTGTACAGACTTGTTCGTGGTAGTCAAAATAGATATTTTGTTTGCATTGAAATTCTCTGGTAATTGCTTTTTAAATGCTTGTAATTGTTTTAAAGCCTTCCTGCCACTCAGTCATGGAGAGAGTCTTTAATAACTGCACGTGATCCATAACCTTCAGAGTCACCAGAACTGGCAGAAATGCGTTCGTGAGATACATTTAAAGGCTATTCAGTAAGACTGCGGCAACTAATCTATCACTTCCACTGACCAGTCACTTGAGCTGTGGGAGATATCAGTTCAGTTGATTGTTGGAAAGCAATGAATGTTTTGAGGCATAATTATGGCTTCTGCAGGATGTAACTGACCCCATTACAGGATTGATGTTGTAAGTAAAGTTGAAAAGAGAAACAAACAGGTGGTTCAGATTGGTAATGTCTCTGGCTCAGCTCTTTGGGTAAGTGCGTTAGAGTCCCACTTGGTTTTGTGTAAGAAGACCCACGTGGAGGATGGGAGGCACCATCAGAGTCCTGACACTTCAGTGCAACAGGGACTAAAAATCAGCAAAAGGGCAGAAATAAAAACGCATCAGCACAGAATGAAAAGCAAACAGGACTGAGAAGAGCAGCTTAAATGGAAGAGAATGTCAATGAGATTGAGAAAAACTCCAATTTTTTTTTCCAAATTCTTTCATCTTCTTCAATTTTTAAAAATACCATTGTTCCTCTAAGTTGCCCATAAAGACACAGAATGTAGGCAATTTGTAATATTTACTAAGGTTTTAATTCTGTTCTGATAACTCTGTCAAAAGTAATTTTAGAAAATAACAGTAAATATGATGCAAACAGCTGACATCATGAAAAGGAAAACTTTTGCTTTTTTTCCAGATATCCACATGTGTCTGTTTAAATACCAGCCTTTGTTCTTAAATGTATGTATTCTATGACAGAATCACTTCAGAGATTTTTTTTTAATCAAAAGTGTACTTTCAGTAAAATGACTTTAATTACCAATTCAAAATATTACTCTTGAGAACTCCGTAACTCACACCATCTTTGCAAAACTAACTTCCAGTGTACAGGTTCTACTTATTGTTAGTATATAGCTTATTCGCTCTTTAAACAAAGGTTTATCATCCCTTTGTAAATAACTATAGTTTGCAATTAATTTTATAAAGTTAATTGGACTAATTTGTTTTGAAATTTTCAGTCAGCTACCAACTGGTTGCATGACTTCGTACTGCTTCCCCAAATCTTTTTTTTTTTTTTTTTTTAAGATGAATTCAATTTATTTGAAAGGCGGAGTGGATTGAGAAAGAGATGAAGAGAAAGGAGGTCTTCCATGTGCTGCTTTACTTCCCCAGTTGTTTACAATGGCCAGCCCTCAGCCAGACTGAGGTCAGGAGCCAGGATCTCCATCTGGACCCTCTGCATGGATAAACATGGGACAGCATCAGCTGCCCTTCCAGTCACATTAGCAGCAAACTGGACAGAACCAGAATAGACTGGAATCAAAGATGTATTCTGATGAGGTTTGAGAATCACAGATGCGGGCTTAACTCAGTACACGATAATGCTGACTCCCGCTCCCCTTTCTATATCTCAATTTTTAATAGCAAAATGAAGGAATTATTTAAAATAATTCTTTGTTCTGCATAGGAATAAAGGTAATCCATCCAGGGAAGAGGCAGTGCATGGCTACCAGTAACTGCTATGAAATTGCTTGCATCCTGTCTGTGATGGCTGTTTGTTCTGTTTCTTACTGTTCCGCTGCGTGCTCCAAAGAAGGAAGTGTGACTAACAGTGTGTGTGCACTGTACGCTGTGCCCCTCCAAAGTCTACTCTGAATGGGAATTGCTTCCTTTCACCTGGAGTGTGGAAAACTTCTATTCTTACCTCAAAATTTCCCTTTTCTATGGTATTTCCTCAAAGCCCTCAGCTCGGAAGCCCTCCTCAAATTTCCTGTGTAGCACCTAATTGAATTGCCCCATAGAGCAAGTACTTACTTAAAAAAAATAACTTAGTTACTTTTTCAATTAAAGTCACAACAGAAGCATTTAAACATTTAAAATGCGACATTCAACTCTGACATTTTGATTTAAAAAATATGGAATGCTTTACGAATTATGTCGTATCCTTACACAGGGTCATTGCTAATCTTCTCGGTGTTATTCCAATATTAGTAAATATGCTACCAAAGTGAGCACAGGAATTTATGTTTATTGGAAAGGCAGATTTACAGAGAGAAGGCGAGAGACAGAAATATCTTTCATCCTTTGGTTCACTCATCAAATGTCCACAACACATGGAGCTGAGGTGATTCAAAGCCAGGAGCCAGGAGCTTCTTCCAGCTCTACCACATGGGTGCAGGGTCCCAGGGCTTTGGTCCATCTTCTTCTGCTTTCCCAGGCCACAAGCGGGGAGCTGGATGGGAGGTAGAGCAGCCAAGACACAAACTGGCATCCATCGGATATGTCGGTTCTTGCAGGTGGATGATTAGCCATTTGAACCATCGTACTGGTTCCAAGCAAGTACTTAACTTTATGAGACTGTTTTAAAGCATTTTAACATAGAATGTTTGATGATAGTAAAAGGATTAGATTTTCACATAGCACTAACAGTTAATATATAGTGCATGATAAATATCAGGAACTGTTTTAACCTTGGTTTTTAAGAGATTCATTTATTTGAAAGCATGATGGAGAAAGAAGGATAGATAAGTAGATCTTCAAACAGCTACAAGATCAAGACTGGGCCAGGCAGAAGTCAGGGCCAGGACCTTTATTCAGAGATCCCACATGGGTGATAAGGACCCAAGCACATGTGTCATCTTTGGCTGTTATCCCAGGTGACCTAACAAGAATTTAGATTGAAAGTAGAGCATTGGGGACACAGGCTAGCACCATCTGAAACGCCAGTGCTACAGCCAGAGGCTTTACTTGCCCTGCCACGACACCAGCCCTTAATTTCTTGGAATATATTGAAGTATTAATTAATACCATAATGTGACATATTGATATTACTATCCCCATATAGCAATGAGAAAAAAAGAAGCTGGGAGACTAAGTAACCTGCACCCTGACCATATATTGTAATTATGTTATCGATTAATTTTCCATAATGTCAAGTCAAAAGCATTTGCTCCTAAAATTTAAAGTTCGATGCTTTTTTATTTTTGGTATCTGGCATATAGGATAGTCTTAAATTTTTTTTGTTAAAAAATGAAATGAAGAAAAAAATGTAGGTGAACAGATACATTCAACTTTAGAATACTTCCTTGAAATAGTGAGAAAGTACAAAAAAAAACGTTGAAATCTGTGTCTGAAGTTGAGTTTAAAAGCTGTTCTGTGTGTGTTTGAGCCAGGATTTAGAGAGTTGACATTTCTCCTCGTTTATTGTCAAACTTGTGGTATCTTGAGAATGCCTTGATTGTTTGTCACATGTCAAAATTGTATCACACAAATGGGTGACTCATGTCAAGTAAAGGAGAGGTCAGAAGCCAGCAGCGGTATGTCTAGAAAAGGTCCAGCTTGCTTGATAATATCGAGCCTCAGGCTCCAGTGGTTTCTGATGTATTAGCTTTTCACAGCTGAACTGAACTGTTTTACCTTTAGAAGACTTAAAGGATGAGTTGCGTTGGCAGGAAATGTTCACTGAGGTACATTTCTGCCCTGAAGGCTCTTACCTACAGCTGGAGAGACGAGACTGAATTATACAAATTACTCAAAAAAGAAATCAGAAAGTAACACAAATTATGGAAACCAGATCATAAGCGAAAGCAAGATCACATGAGGTTTCTTCGTCAAGGGGGGCGTATTAAACTGCACCTCAAAGATGTATCACGTTGGGTCACACAGAGAGCAGGTGGCAGTGGCAACAAGGCAAGTTTGCTTGACAGGTTTCAGGAGGAACAGAAGCACTCATGAAGGCAGATTGCAGTGTTTAGTGGCTACAGGTGTTTGACAGTCAGTTCTCAGCCACACTGTTTTCTGGACGTTTTTCTTAGAGACACTTGTTAAAAGGTTGTCAGTCACCAATGACACTAATTATAATACCAGTTCTTACGAAGGACACTATTTTGAACCAGAATCTCTACATAGTTATTTTTATTTCCATCACTTTGGAACACCAATACATTTCCCACCTCTTTAACTTAGATTTCTTTAAACTAGACATTAAATAGCACTTGGTAATGAGATGGCAGTCCCTAAATCTTACCACTCAGACAGCAAAGGGAGTTGAGGAAACAGTTGATCAATAGTGACACAGCTTTACAAAGGGCTAAATGAGAAAAAAACAGATCTGAATCCTACTAAGACGTTTCTGCAAGATGTACAGAGAGATTCATGATGGGCGGGAAAATTAGACAGTGAAGCTGGTTATCAGCATAGCCAGTAGAATTTCTATTCTAGAAAGTCAACAATTGTGAAGCTCACTATAAGTTTGATCAATAGCTTGCCTGCTTCAGATTACAGAATTAGGATTCAGATTTCTTTAGTATGACTAGGTTCCACTTGTGACTGAGAGAATAAGTACTCTGTATTTATATATGTTTATTTATTTGTTATGTGATCATTCCTTGATTTTTATATGTAAAAAAAAATTGTTTAAGTCAAAATTACTGTGCTTAACTGTCACTTTCAACAAATTCTCATAAAGTTATAAATGGAAATCAAAAAATTAAAAAATATTTATAAATACACCTATATGTTTGAGTTTACGAAGTAATACATTTCTTTTAGCCCAGAACTTTTTCATAAAAATGATTTTTATGGCACTTTGACCCTCAAATTGTGTGCATTATTAAGCAGCTGTTTAACTTGTTGCTGCTGTTGTTCTGTGCTGAGCTGTCCAGCTGGGTAAGGATCAGTTGATACTATTTGACAAATTCCATGTCAGAATGTATTCAAGGGAAAATTGCACAATACTGGAATCTGTGTAAATCTAAATGGCTGAATGTAAGTACTTATCATTTGATCAACTTAATATGGTAAGGAAATGAAACATTATAATTGATGGCAAGTTTACAGAAAGAGAGAGACATGGAGAGAAAGAGAAAGAAAGAGAAAGCTTCCATCCACTGATTCATCCCCAAATGGACACAATGGCCAGGACTTGGCTTGTCTGAAACCCAGAGACAGAAGCTTCTAGGTTAGCCACATGGGCACAGGATCCCAAGGTCTAGGACCATCCTCTGCTGCTTTCCCAGGCCACATTAGGGAGCTGAAACAAAAGTGAAACAAAGGGATCAGCATGGTAGCCTGGCAGCTAAAGTCCTAGACTTGAACATGCCAGGATCCCATACGGGCACCGGTTCTAATCCCGATGGCCCCGCTTCCCATCGTGCTGGGAAGGTAGTCTAGGACGGCTCAAAGCCTTGGAATCCTGCACCTGTGGGAGACCCTGAAAAGGCTCCAGGCTCTTGGCTTCAGATTGACTTAGCTCTGGCCGTTATGGCCACTTGGGGAGTGAACCAACAGACCAGAGAGCTTCCTCTCTGTCTCTCCTCCTCTCTGTTTATCTGACTTTGCAATAAAAATAGATAAAATATTTACAAAATGTTTTTACAAAAAGTAGTGAAGCAGACAGAAAGAGATCCAACACACATATGGGATGCTGGCACCTTACACAGATGCTTAATATGCTATGTCATGACTCTGTCCCCTTTTTAAACATTTATTTTTATTTGGAAGGCAGAGTTAGAAACAAAGAAAGAAAGATCTAGGGATCTTCCATCTGCTGGGTCACTGTCTTTTGTCTGTGGAGAAAGGATACCTTCTCATCTGGGGACCTGAAAATATTCTGCACCTCAGGCAGGTAGCACAATTTTAATTTTTAATTAAAATAAATTTTAAATGATCTTCTATAAAATGGAAAGTTCAGGATAAGCTTTCCTCAGAATCCAAACACTGAAATAGAAACTAATATTTTATTCCTGTAGCTATCTTATTATTATTTTTTATAGGCAAAGTAATTCTGTCCCAGAATAATTAACATAGCAGATTAAAACTAAGATCTATTGTAAATAGGCATATTGGCCTTCATTAATTATTTGTCTATTCAAATGATTCAGTTAATTTTGGGGAAACCGAAAGAATGAATTCATTTCCAAAATAAATGCTATACAGGGACAGAGTCTCTGTAATTTTGCATATATAAGCAATGAAAGGATTCCACAGAATGTATTCATCCAACATAATTCTGGAAACTTCCATCCTCAAAGAAAAGCAATGTTTTCTAAGAATGTGTTCTTAATTATTATCAGCAGTAAACAAATCCTTTAGTGGCTACTGATTGTCAGACAATTATTTTTGATTAGCAATCATTTTGTAAACATGTTTCCTTCTGCAAAGCCTTAATTGCATCTCCATATCAACCTGCTATCATCAGATGCATGAGGCTGGTGTTTCCTTTGTCAGAATGTAAGATGAATTCCTGATTTCGGAAGTGTTCATGCGATCATCCATTTAGTTCACATTCCTTCTTCACTCCACACTAAACATGGGGTCATTTTTTTAAAATGCTAGATCATTCAGGTCAGAACCTTTAAAACTTATTTCAGTGAAGTTATTTCACAGAATAAATTTGTTCACTGCTATCTTCCAGAGAGTGTTTGGCAGTCATATCAGTGCTTATCAAGTTAGTGCGTAAACTTTCATATCAGCACACCAATATCGGATAGCAAGTAATGACGTGATGACCTTTCTCTGTTAAGATTTCCTCAGGCTCATTGCTGAAATAAACTGTAGCCTTGGATACACCTTTCCCTCTAGACAGACAGAAACTGAGAAAGAGATCTAAGTCTTTGGTAGCATGAAAGAGAAAATAACTTGAAAATAGAGGTCAAAGAGTGGATGAAATATCATCAGAAAGACCTGGCAGGGTAGCAAAAGATACAGTCAACTCGTGATTCCGTCAGGCCTGACCCCTGCTTGGGTAGATTTTTGAGGCATGGGGTATCTCTAATTCAGCTATAAAAAGCTGAGAGACCATTTTCCAAACAGTATCTCTTACTAAGATTTCACCGTGAAGTTAAAATTCAGAATTATATAGAGAATTGAGCAATTGTTCGAATTCTTTTTAGAAACAGAAAAGACTCAGTGTCAACTGTATGTCCAGTCTGTGTGTGGGTAAAGCAGACATTCTTAAAATCTGCCATGTACTGGACTTGGAAGACGTGGTTAAAAACAAATTTATGGATCCCATT